AGAATGCGGCCCTAGAATCCTAAAACTCGTGGTTCACTCAGAGAAACAAGCAACGGATGTTTTGGATCGATGACAGAGAAGTCGGAAAATTCTTCACTATGAACTTCGGTTAAAGGCCGCAGAAGCTTTGCAAAGTGCAAATATCAAGGCAACTGAAACAGCAAACGTACCGACGATGACACAGGAGCTTAACTTGACTGCTGCTTCATTTGAGGCTGGCGTAGGTCTAAACAAAAATTGGGACACATCTTAGCCAAATAAACTTGCAGACGAGGTGTCATTATCCCAGCAAAAAGATGAGGAACTGCCGATCTCCCATCGATTGGCATTCTCCCACACTTGACCCCTTTAGCCCTATGTGGGCTCCTAGTGACCGAGAAACTGGCCTGCCTGTACAAGAATGCTCAGGATATTTTGATAAACTGGCCAGACTGAAATATCGCCAAGCTTCCGGGTCATATGATGTCATTGGTATCACCGAGACGTGGTTGTACACGGGAATGACGGACGCTGAAGTTTCGCTACCGGGCATGTTGCTGACCTGGAACGATAAACTCACAAAAAGGAGGAGTAATCCTGTAGTACTGAAGCAACTTACGGTGCGAAGCCATGAAGGATTTAGACGCAGTTCCCCGACTCTCTTTGGTGCCGCTTGCAGTTAAAATGTATAGACTTTTGCCTTATTGTCTTGGTGTACAGTCCCCCTACCTCTACACCCGAAACCAACTGCCACCTAGCGGCTGCTTTAAGATGCAGTTTACAGCGAAAATACACTCACATACTTATCATGGGTAATTTCAATGTACATGATTTAGAAAGTGATGCCACCATCGGAGAACAATTCAAAGCTAATCTACAAGATCTCGTAACCACTGTTCCTCTTTACAATCATATCACTGCTCATTCGGTTCAGAACAGGTAACAGGCAATCTGTGCTGGATCTTGTGCTTAACAACGAGGAGCATATGAATGATGCATTGGTTTCAGTTTGTGCATTGGGTCGCAGTGATCACGCAGTCATCAGTTTCAACTTCGTCTGCTTTGCGGAATATCGGAATAAGAACGATGAGATTGTGCGAACCATCACAAGTTGCGATCGATTAGTCCAGCTCGTCAGCGCTACAACTTGGTCATTCATTGCCGAAGAACCCCCGGAAGTCGCCTGGCTCGAGTTCGCCAACAAATCAAGTCAGCTGATTGCAAAGGCTTCAGAGATAAGAGTTTGCAATAAGTGTACATCAGTTTCTTTCGTTAGGAGCAGAACTCGAAAATGGATGACAGTACGCAACGCAGTAGGGCGAGTGTACAGAGAAACTCCGCCACCAGAAACTTGGGACAAGTACGTAGCCCAACGTAACAACTGCACTCAACTGTTAACAGAAGACAAAGCCGCATATCAGCAGAACACCGTAAAAACCCTCAGTGATAACCATAAACTGTTGTACAAACTTGCCAGTAGCTTACAAAAGGTGAAACAAGGATTCCATCCACTCAGGACGGCCGGTGGACCAACACGAACGGCTGCGGAAGCAGCAAAGGCGCAGCGGATGCAATATGCCCCCATGTTTCAGAGGGTCTTGCCACCAAACGATCTTCCAAACTTTGTCATCTCTCCGCCAGGACTAACTTACATCACTTTTACCGCGGAGGCTGTATCGCAAAATCTGACGTCTCTACGCAAACACAGCTCGTCAAGTGGCACTGGAAGCAACAGAAAGCCAACTGGCAAGACCTCTAGCTCAGATTTCCCCGTGCTACTTAGACCAGAATCAGGTCCCCGCTATGTGGAAGCTCAGAATAATAAGCCCGATTCACAAAGGTGGAAACAGAACTGAGCGCTCCAACTACCACCCAGTATTCCTACTTCTTATACTCTCCAAGGTCATGGAATGCATGGTTACCAATGCACGGATGTGCCACCTGGAAAACTGTAACATCATCACGCCTGAGCAGCACGGCTTCCGTCGACATCTATCACGCACAACGAATTTACTAATCGCACGCAGTAGTTGGACCGAATCAACTGACGCTGGAGAAGGCGTTGATGTGACCTACCTGGATTTTTTGAAATCTTTCGATCGTCTAGACTATCGGATACTACTCTCCAAGCTGGATTGCCAACTTTCTACTGCAACATCAATTAGTAGTCAGAGTTCGGAGCTCTTTATCGGATCCCATACAAAGTAGAGTGTGTTACGCCGCAAGGTTCAGTTATAGGTTCACGTTTGTTTTTGTTGTCTATTAATGACCTTGTAAAGGGAATCGCTTCAAATTTCCTAATGTTTGCCGATGAAATCAAGATTTGGTGTAGGATCAAGGTGAACGCCGACCAGCATTTGCTTCAGAGTGACCTAGATAGTGTATATCAATGGTCAACCCAAAACTGACTGCATTTCAACATCAATAAATGTAAGGTACTTTCCATCCGACGTTAAAGCAGCTACTCATACCGGCTCGGAACGAAGGTACTGCGACAAGCAATGGTCAAGGTGACGAGTGTACCGGATTAAGATAACTTGGGTTGCTCCAGGCAATCCGAAAAGGCGTCGAACACTGGAAACAACACGTCGGGCTGCTGCGACGGGTGTTTGGACAAATAAACATCTCCATGTTTCGACAAATGCTCAGTGCGTATGTTTGCCCCCATGCAGAATACACCATGCAAGCCTGGCATCCATGGCTGAGAAACGAGTTTAATGCACTGGAGCAGCCACAACGTCGGGTTTTTAAGAATGCAATTAAAATGCGCAATCTATCATACCAGGAGAGGCTACAACGGTTGGGGGTATTCAGTGGAAGCTATCGCAGATAACGAGGCGACCTGATTATGGCTTACCTGATTCTACGAGACCCACATCATGTGGGCCGCCCTATACTGCGACTCAGCACCAATATAACCCTGAGGGGCCACTCATTAAAACTCACAGAAAAATACAGCCGTCTGGAGTGCCGCATATATTTCCTTATCATTTATGTCTGTCACCCGTGGAATGCTCTCTCAGAATCGGTTGTCCCTGCACTGACGATAACAGTATTTAAAGAACGGTTGAATGACGCACTCATCCATACACTTTGAGACTTAGCGCTAAGTCTCCTACACCAGGAGTTTAGCATGGATTTATTTGATCTTAGCTGCGGATGCTGTGAATCTAAGCGGAATGTAGGACTAGAGCGGAGCAAACGTTAAGTATTTATTTCATATTTAAAATACTAACTGTGTTACTATTTTCATTATTATCAATGTTATTTCGATATCCCCACGAACTATCCAATGGGACTTGTAAAGCAACGCTTCTTAACCCGTATACATTCATAGTTCATTGTATTTGAGGGCTGGGCGATGATTTCAGGACAACCGAGCACCAATAGTGTTAGGTTGTGCCGGTACTCATATACTACCGAATCGTTTGGCGCACAGCCCCGGACGCCTCGGCATGTGCTTTTCACCTTCAAAGTTCAAGGACTGTGACTATACGCCACCGGTTCTAGCTACCACTGAACAGTCACTGCAAGTTATTAATCGTTTCACGCACCGATAATGAAGCCGCTCCACGTATCAGCGAAACTTGTGCGGATTTGCAGATTCAGTTAGCTATGAAAACGAGAGAGAGGTGTGACTAAAATGAGTAACAGAGTGCATTGCGCAGCGATAAGACCAATTTTCGTGTATGGATAAGAAATATGGTTAGTTCGCACTGAAGTCACTGATCATGTTTGATCGACGGTGCTTGCTGAGCAGTGCTACGATTTGGTGAGAAGGTTGGGTGAATAGCACTTGGTAGGGAACCGTCTGGTGCCTCACTGGACTGTCCATTAACTTTAAATGACTTTCGTTGGTTGGGTGATATGCCCCCTATGTCTGTTGACCGTCCCCCTTAACTTCATTGTATGCTGTCGTGGCACCTAGTTGGCCGAAACCGTGAGGTGGCCAGTTGCTGACACGGCATATGGGAATGAAGGCATTGTTTTACAGTTGGTCCGGGTGTAATGTGCAGTCTACGCGGGTGGGGAACTCGGGAGACATCAGTGGCGGACACAGTGACGCTCCAACACTCGATTTCCTGTAGCCAATTGTCAACGTTCCGCTCCGATTAGATACATTAACTTTTTCTTTCCAAATCCACTATTATTTCTATTTTACCTTAGTTCCTACATAATTCTGTAGTATAATTTTACCAGTAATGAAAAATGTGGCAGTCGTTTCCGGTACACTTTAGTGTTCAGCTGAACTACTGTACTGGCCATGTGTGTAATTCGGAAATGGCATCTAACGTGGACCAAAGTGGACCAATGAAGAATGCAGCCGTTGGGTATAAACTCCATCATGCGGGCCATTATGTGATCAGTCGCAAATAGAGTTGAACAATATTGTGACAAGTGGAGTAGACACAATACACATTGAAAATCGTGCGAAAGAGAAAGAAAGGGTACGTGAGACCGAAGCGTGCAACGATTTCTGAAGAGAGTGAATTTGGTCTTATCGCAACTGCATGCAGTCAAACCATGGCAATGCTTATGCTTAATGGAGTCGAACGACATTGTGATAGTTGGTTCAACTTATAGGTAGTCATCTCAGAGAAGTAAAAATGGGACTGATACACGTCTGGAAATAGAGTGTTAGCTTAAACCTGTCCGGGTGGAGCGCTTATCTCCGAATAGGTGTGCGCGAGTGGAAGGACACTAAATTGAGAGAGGTACACTAGTCCCACTTCAATGACAAAACCAATCTAGTCAAGGTTCTACCGAGAAGGCAACTTAAAAATGAATCACCACGGTCCTTGGCAACTGGATCGGTTATAAGTGCAGCAATGACGCATCGTAAGCATATCAATCACCTGTGGATGAAGGAGGTGCAGTTGACAATCGACCGAAAGATGACACCATCCACCTATCCACACCACTCAGAGGTGTGAAAAGTTAGCGAGGCCAACACGACAGTAAACAAAAACTATCCCTTCACACTGACAAACTACGGAGTACTACAAACAACGCTGACTTACTGAGTGATGTGTCGTGCACTGCGTTTGAAGTGACTGGGAAGAAATGGAATTATCGTACACGTATAAATTAGAATGGAAGAGGAAAAATTTTGAAAGAAATGTACGTGGAGGCGGAACAAAATATTATAGCAAGTGCGCAGTTACAACTAAAAGAGGAGACATGCGACACCAAAATGTGTGGTGGATTCAGGCACGACAAATTGTTTACGCAACACAATGCGCAAGGAAAGTTTAGTAGGTTTTTTTCACGAGATGATCAGAAGCAAGCAGATAGTATGGTGGCTGCAGCACCGTAAGTTCAACAGTATATAGGGGACTTAAGAGCAACTGGTGATTCTAAGTTGTAGAGATCGGACCGTATAACAATAAACTAAGCATGAAATACAAAGAATTCCTGTGTTGCAATTTAGTTTTACTGAAAATATTAGGATGCCTCACCAGTTCGTAAGGTTGACGTAGTCGAGTTAAACACAAAATTAGGCACGTTGAGGATAGTCAAAGAGAGTTCTGAAAAGTCAAAATTACACTCTGCAGTAAGTAATCGCAAGTAACTGCTCATGGCCTGCCTAGCGGAAAATAAATAGTGAAACAACGGCTAAATAAAATTTTATCGTGGCATATCCCAACCTGTGGAAGTTCTGATTGGCGGAGTTGACTGTACTTGCATATGCCATCAACAGAGCACAATCTCGCGCGACATCCAAAGGGTGATTTTATGGATGGAGGGAAGCAAAATAAGAAGATAGTGAGGGCGCAAAGCTTGGTGAAGTTTCAGCAGTACCAGTAAACAATGACAGTAGTGCCTAAAGAAACCATTGGAAGATATTGTCTTCTTCACCAGAATAAAGTGCAGATATCCACTACGTTGTTCCCAGGTGTTTGAATAACGGAGTAATTTAAAGTATTCGAAGCCCCTCGAAATCTGTGAGGAGGCAGTTTTGAGAGGTAATTTAGTCGAAAACGGCGGCCAATGTATAGTTGATAACAGAAATTGGCCGTTAACAATAATGCCTTCGCTATAACAAAGTTTGGAATTTCAGGTATTCGTTGTGTTTGGATTGTGACGCGCAATCTCAATTCGCATCGCGGTAAACAAAAGATACGTGAAAAGTCATTTTTAAGCAATGGAACCGCATCTAAGTTTGAGCTGCCTCCGGTTTCCATTGTGTTTGAACTAAGTATGAGAGTAGATCACTTTCACAGCCAAAGATTGAGATACAAGTCTATGAATCATACTGAAGCTATTTATATCCGCTGCCTCAAGTCTGAGTTGTGCGTACAAAGGCAATTAGTACACACCTTACTTCTACTGTGGTCTACATTGCCTGAACTAGTCATTCGGCAGCTGTAGGCGGGAAGTAAACAAAGTAGAATGGGGCTCCTTATCGACGCAATTCGCAATGAAGAAACGAGGTACTACACTGACGTTTGCTAAGGTATTGCCGTACAGTTTTCGAATACCCCGAATCCCATACATACGTAATCGAAATTGGTCAGTAAAGATAACGGAGAAATGGGTCCTCGCAGAAATGATGAGGGGAGGTTAGCGAAGTAAATATGGCGATCAAGAACTAAGTTCGCAATGTAAGACAGAGAGGCTATTGAGTTCGCTGAAAGACGATGCTTAAAAACACTGAGCTTGCAAGGAGGGACAGCGCAACCTATGAGCTTCGCCAACAACAAAGACACCGGCATCAGAGATGTCGGGTAAAATATTTCTTCATCTGACCCTGGTTTGAAACGCGATTCTGTTCGAGTTGATAGATGCACAGTCAAAAAAGTGCGCGTTTGACATAATCGATTAAAAAGAGAGGAGAAAATCCTCACATCTGTCAAAAATAGAGGGGAGATGTATAATCAAAGGAACATTGGATAGATCACCAGCAACCACAGTCACAAGACCAAATGACTTGTTTAACCAAGTGGATATTGCGTCAGATTTGAAGGTAGGAAAAGGAAACCAGTTCAGGATGGAATCAATTAAATACAGACGCATTAAATAGAATAAAAACTTGATATGGAGAGTTGTTTTGAAGTGCACATTGTGTGGATGGATTGCGACATGCTAGCTCAATATTGATCGCGACTCCCATTGAAGTGAACCTTGGTCTTTCGATCACGAGGATCGTAGCTGCATAACAACTTGTTCATCACTACTCCGTAAGCTAGACAGTAATTTCTCTAGATGGCATTTCATGCGTCCACATTCACATTTCCATCTCCTGTCAACTTTGAGCCAGTTACCGGCATTCAGTTGTGATAAGTTGGTCGGACATCGCGCCTACCGGAAAGCGTATAGTTAAAATTGAAACGGAGTAGCTGTGAGGAATAACAAACCGCACAACTTACTTCAACAATATTGTCGAGGTAAATGTTATCCTCAAGCAGCTTATCGCGCTCTTCCATCAGTGATCGAAGTTTCCTCTCCAAACGAGTCCTCTCCGTCTCAGCGCCCTGTGCGCGAGCACATGCGTCCTTCAATTTATTTTCTTTCTCCTTTACGATGTGATTGACAGCGTATAGGTTAGTTTGAATTCATCATTAGATGTCAAATAGAAGTTATGTCATGTCGCAGTAGATGATATTTCTGGGGTTCGTAGAAAAGAGCGAAATCGAAAAGGGCTTGAAAATTATATGGCTTCTTTAGAGTTGATTCAGAAAACCAAACTAAAGATGGTTACTGCGATGCCGTGTTTTGAATAATCGGCTTAGACCGCGCTTGTGCTTAGCGACCCTTTTTAAGATAATCGTGGTACTCATAAACGTAAAAGTAGTAAGTAATTTAGTAAATTGTTGGCTAATAGCATTGAAGACTGGTAGGTTGTTCAGATGGCGGTTGAACTGTGCGCCCGGCAATTTTGTTGCAACAAAACTGCCAAGCTCAGCGAACAGTTCAACCGCCATTAGTGAATTGTGATCATCATGCATAGCTAGGTGAGGGACCCAGGCAGCCACAGGCAAACTGCATAATAATCAGCAAAATGTTCTTATGTTTCTTCTCGTTTACAACTAGGTTGTGGGCAAATTCAATTGAGTGCATGACGCTCACGGAAGTTTGAATAAAAAAACACACATCAAGCCCATTGCATTTGTGGAACACGGGTATATCCCACCGTCAATCGAGTCGTCATCATCTGCAGCCTTTCTGAGAGCGCTTCGTTCACAGACTCATCTCGCTGACAATTTTGCAGCTTCAGCTTTAGGTCAAACTGACAGATCTGTTGGTTAGCTTCCTGCAGTTCATCCCGAAGTTGATGCACGCGCTGATAGTAGACAGAAGTGAAATGTAATCAGGGGTTGGAATTCCAGGCAACAAGAGCAAGATATCAGAAAATTGACTTTGACGAAATAGACGCGCACCACGTCCGAGCGAAAATTTCTACTTTTCATTGAACAGATGGAGTAGTGTAAAGGGTAAATTAGATCAAATTCATGACCATCAGGACAAAGACGATAAACGTACTCGAGTGAAGTGATACATATATCCGAAACTATAGTAAGTAATCCAGCTGATAACTAAGTAAATACAAACATGATACGCGCTTTTGGAATGATAATGTAAATCAAACTGCGGAGAGGGTAGATCAGTAGAATACGCGTTGTATCTTCCCGTGATTTGAAAGAGCGTGACAAAGAAAGCATTGATAATCAAGTATATTTACAGGTTGCTCGGACCACAGAAAAGTAGATCAGGTTCTGCGGGTGTTTCAACACGTATGCATTCACTGCGCTCGAAGTAGTATATCATGTATAAACAGCTGCCGTCAAAATACGATCTGCCCTAGGTCAGTGAAAGGATAACTTCCGTCATCCACTACTAAAATTGATCGGTGCTTGGGACCAAGCAAAGTAGAAAAAACTATTCTGATTATCTAATTACTTACGTTATACCCGTGATCACGTCGTTTGAGGCAACAAGGTTGAGGACCCTAAGTGAAGGATATAGCACACAAAACAGTCCGTCGTGCTAAATACAAGGAAACAATATCGCATTGAAGTAGCTCATTTCGAAGATGGGCATCGTGCCATGCAGAGCAGCACAGTGTTGTTCGCAACACTACGATGAGCAGCACCGTATCCCCGATGATAAAAAAAATAAAAAGTACTACTCAGATCAGTAACGGTTAGAAAACACAATTACGAACACTAAAATAGCGCTACTGCTTTCGAACGTTGTCCTTATTATACGCAAGCGTAGCCGGGCCATAAGAATTGAGCCTCGTCTCAACAGTGAGAACGTGATGCCAAACAGTGCTCGCCTTCGTCTATAGTGAATAGGTATTCAATGCCAACCTACAAAGCCGGAGTCGAATGAAATTCAGAGCATTTCAAGCTCTACTAACCCAGTCAGATAAAAGTCGCTACCATTCGTAAGCCGATGTGCTCGTCAATTATCAATTGGATGTTGCGTGTGACCCCAACACACTTCGCAAGTGTTCGGCACTGGACATTCGTAACCATCGTATGGGTACTTTGCCAAGTGCACAACAGCGGACAAGGATAACAGGACATTGGGCAACCCACCAGGCTGGTGCATGTTTTCAGTAATTCGGATAACCCAGCGGAAACAGCATGTCATGAATTGTTGGACAACGAAAGCGCAGCGGGTTAAGGTCACGTCAGCAAGTGAAATCTTTCAAATGGACAGGAGAAACCGAAAATCGGTAAAGCAAAAAGGGTTTCCCATTCAAGCATGACCGTAAATGCCACATAGGAAAGTAGGTCAAGTTGTCAGTTGCACTATCACGAATAACAAGAACACTTAGTGTACATTGTACTTCGCGGTTCCCTTAAAAGAGTACAAAATCGTATTTGACCATTCAACGTAGTCATTAGGTCCAGGGCGACCTTCCGCTGTGCATGGTTAGCCTTTCCAATACCAAACGATTAGATGCACACCATTGGGAAGACGAAAAACTGGTTTCAAAGCAACACAGTTAAAATGTTGCTGCTCACTGACCCGAAACGTGGGCATGCATTGATAGATGGAGTGTAAAGGTAATAAGCCAAACTGAAAATGATTAAGATTGCCACATTACTCTCGTTGTAAGAATTTGAAAAATAAGGTGACGATATATAATAAAACGATATATATATATATATATATATATATATATATATATATATATATATATATATCCAAGTGTCACAAGGGCCTTGCTGAATGAACGAATAAACCTTAGTTATGTGAGTGTTAGAAGTGACACAAATGCCAAGGTAAGAGAACCGATCCACTACTCCCAGTGGCTGTGGTGATAGCTAGAAGCGGGGACATATGGGCCCAGTCTTGCAATAGTACTTTGCACTTGAAAAGTGTAAAGTACATCTCAAAGCGTGCTGAGCTACGCACTAGTCTATCCAGTAGCGATCGTATAGACAATGCGTCACAGCCAAGGAAAACCATGTCGTCCGCATACAACACGTTTGTCAGGCCGCATCTAGCGGAACTTCCACTCCGTCAGAGTCTGGAACAATCAAGTCATTCATGATCTCTTCGATCACAATGTAGAAGAAGAAAGTTATACAGGACAATCCTGCCGAATTCAATTTGTCGTGGAGAACTCATGAGACAGCTACCCGTAGATCCTTACACGGCCTCGGGATTCGCAGTATACGGATTTCAGATGGAGAAGCGATTTGGCTGGCACACCTTTCATGGATAAGCAGTGCCACAAGCTAGCTCGGTCAAGAGAATGGAAAGAAGATTTAAGTTCATCTCAGCCCTAACACGCGAGGAGTAAATATGTGGTCGATGCAACCAGGACCAAAGCGAAAAGCAGACTGGCTTTCAGTGATCTGGCAATGAAAATAAGGCTGATGCCTTGGCCATTTTCGCCCAAACTCCGTTGACCCTTCATGAAAATGAGCAAGACAGATGACAGTCGCCAGTCTCAAGGCATTCCTTCATTTTCTGCAATCGTGTTAAATAGAGCAGGAAGCCCAGTTAACAAAGAGTCACCTCCATCTTTCAGCAAAGATGGGGGAAGGTAGTGGAATCCAGCAGCTTTTTTGGATCCAAACAGGTTAGCTCATGTGAAATTTCTTCCAAAATGGAAAGTATGACATCAACTTCCCAGGTCAGCTAAGGTTGTTCGGCAAGCGGCAGTGTCACAAGAGGCCTGATTAACTGCTCTTCAAAATGTTCCGCTCCACGCGCTTGTGGACGAGGATGAGAATGGATTAAACACCCATCTAACTCAGCTTTTGTCTCCCTAACTGAGAGCCTTATCGGACCCGTGTTACGGCCGAGCTGGAATAGCGATCCCCTGTTCCCAGTATCCCTGGCTTTCTCTACCTCAACGGGACCCTGCCACGCACCAACACTACCGGCCAATTCGAAGACTCGTTGTCAGACGTCCTTCCATGGCATCACGGACACGCTAAAACTCACTACCCATTGGAAACTGTTTCTGTCACTCGATCAAACTGATCGATACGTCAGAAATTCATTCACAGTTCGGAGGTCTCAAGTTGAGTGCACAGGTGTCAAAGGTACTCTTTATGACACACTTGAGACGGATCCAGTAAGCAATCGGCTCACCAACCTCATGCACCATTGACAGTTCGTTATCATAGTGTTGAACTGCAAACTCCGAGTTCAAGTTATAGGTAAGAAGCTTAGAAGTCAGACGCTTCTCAGAAGTGGGAAGAGTGAGCGCCAAGCGTGTGCGCACAAGAGCATGGTCGGAATCCATATACGTGCCCCAAATTGACCGACAGCCTTGGACTGATGTGCGCCATCTGCAGCTGATGACAATATGGCTCATCTGGGATCAGATTATCGAGGAATTCGGTGGGCAACAGGCAAAAATGTGAACGTGGAAAGCAATGCTGTTAAGATAAAGATTATGGCAGCCGCATAGTTTCAGGAATTGATCATTATTGTCTTTTCGGCGTGAATGGATCCCGAAATGGTCTCCCAGATGTTGTTCAGCATTTCGCACCATGCGGAGAAGAGATGACGACTGACGGTAGAAATCGTCTACGATACCCTCCAAACTACAGTCAGTAGCGGCATTAACGGAAGCGATGGAAAGACACTTAGTCTGCTGACGGTGCTCAGCAAGCCCAATGTAGATTCGAAGTCAAACCACACATATGCCGCCTCTCACCGGCATCGAGTCAAGTAGATGACCTTCAGCGTGTTTGCTAATGCGATACCAACACCGGAAATACTTGAATCATTGACTGAGTGCGATAGACCATCAAACGACCGCGGTGGTGTGTTGTATACATTCGGCCCTCGTTGTGCAGGTGGCTGGTAAGAACCCACCGAAGTGAAGGTGGTCTATGCGACTAATTGTTGAGCTCGAGCGAACTGAGGCGTGGCGTACTGTTAGGGGGTGTAGCCTATCGCAGCCCAACATATCTGCCAACTGATGCGCATTACACCGAACTCAAATCCGTCGTATCTGGATCTGATGTTGACCAGCTGCGAACAGCTTGTGCGTGTTGTTTTGGTCCTGGAGCCTATAACAGCGAGTGATTACTTGATGGTCATTGCCAGCCATGAGATTTCGCTGCCATACCCG